TAATAATTTCCCAATTAATTAAGGACCGACACACCACCACTGATTTGTACCTTTACCGGAGCTTCAAGTTAAGCCTCCTCCTCACGTACAGTTGCTGTGGCTTGTGAGTTTGTCTATCTATATATACACCACAAAACAAAAAACAAAAACAAAAAACTAAATGGAGGAGATAGAGTTAGGGGAAAAAAGGATGAGCTCCATCCTCGAGGATCCTTTACCGACATTAAAGAGGTGCGTGCAGAGAAAGATAAATAATGCGAAGCTGCTGGCTGCTGCATGCCAACTCTGCGTTGAGTAACTCACCCGCCCCGCCCCACTCTTCCATTATTGAACCATACATAGCTTTTACTCTCTGATTATTAAGTTGCCATTTTTTCCCCAAATGTACGCGTTAAAACAAAGTAAGAATTTGATTCTCTGAGGAAGCAAGGGAATAAAATTCTTTTTTTATTTAGTAAAGAGAGAAAAACAAAAGCATTATATTGAGGTCTTTAAGCTTGGAACAGCCCGCCGCACATTTCGCTTTTCTTCTCCCTTTTCCTTAAAGAAAGTAAATCCGGCCTCTCCATCATCACCACCTTCCTTCTTTTCTCTCTGCTTCTAATAACTCTATATTCTACCTCGCTATATTATTATATTGCAGCAGCAGTATATGACCACTGCTCATCTACCTCGCTAATTAGCTACCTCTCTATATTCAGGGGATCCGAATGCCTTCTCTCTCTCTCCTCCCCCCTCTCTCTCTCTCTAGGGGAAAATAATTATGGTGATGAATTATTAGTGGCTGTACGTAATTTTGGTTGAAGAAGAACATTACCAGAAAGAAAAGAAGAGTAAATCTCAGCTCAGCAGCGCGCTGACATGGAGAATTTCTTATTGCTTCCTTTAATGCTCCTATTCCTCCTCCTCCTCCAATATGCTTCTTCTTCTACATGTCCATTGTCGCCAGCAATAGCTAATGATAGAGTTCATCATGTATCAGCAGTGGGAGACCCCGGGATGAGCAGAGACGCCCTCCGGGTGGCCTTCGAGGCTTGGAACTTCTGCAACGAAGTCGGGGAGGAAGCCGCCGGAATCGGCAGCCCCAGAGCCGCCGACTGCTTCAACCTTGTCTCCAACAACAACACGAATAATACAGGAGGAGGAGGAGGAATAAGCTTAAAGCACCTGGTGTCGGAGGATGACAACAGGCTCGGGGTCGGGAAGCCCTTCCCTGGGCTGAAACCCGGATCTCTGAATGACCCCGATCTCTATGCCGCCGAGAAAGAGCTGTACCTGGGGTCACTGTGTGAGGTAGAGGAGGGATCCGGGCCGTGGCAGTTCTGGATGATCATGCTGAAGAACGGCAACTATGACTCCGAATCTGGACTCTGCCCCGAGAACGGGAAGAAGGCGCCGCCGTTCTCGAGGGGGAGATTTCCCTGCTTCGGGAAGGGGTGCATGAATCAGCCCATCCTTCAGCACAGCCGGACCCAATTAGTGGAAGACAACACCAGATTGGTGGGAGGCTTCAACGGGACCTACGACGTGACCGGCGGAGGAGCTGGCGGCGGTTCCTACTTTGAGGTGACATGGGAAAAAAAGGTAGGGGTAGGAGAAGGGGGGTGGGCATTCCGGCACAAGTTGAGGACAACAAAAAGGTACCCTTGGCTAATGCTATACTTGAGAGCCGACGCCACCAAAGGCTTCTCCGGTGGCTACCACTACGACACCCGCGGCATGCTCCACACCGTAAGTATATAGTACATGTTAGCCACACACCCCTTACTCCTCTCTCTCTCTCTCCACTAAATCTTCTCCCTTTCTTTTTTTTTTCGGAAAAAGTTCAAAAATGAAAATGGATATTTTTGAACTCATAAAAAGAAACATTTTCAACTGATATGAAGAATGTGAGAATGAAGAAAATGGATATAAAGAATGAAGAAAAACTTAAAAAACGTTTTTTTCCTTAACACTAGCTTATTATCCACTTTGCCCAGCTCCCGGAGTCTCCCTACTTCAAGGTGAGAGTGAGTTTGGATGTGAAGAATGGGGGAGGACCTAAGAGCCAATTCTACTTGATGGACATTGGTAGCTGCTGGAAGAACAACGGGCAACCCTGCGACGGGGATGTCCTCACCGACATCACCAGATACAGCGAGATGATCATCAACCCCGAAACTCCCGCTTGGTGTAGCCCTACACATCTCGAGAACTGCCCCCCGTACCACATCACCCCCGACAACACCCTAATCCACAGGAATGACACCACCCGCTTCCCTTACGCCGCTTACCACTACTATTGCGCCCCAGGGAACGCCAAGCACATGGAATCGCCCTACAGCACCTGTGATCCTTACAGCAATCCTCAGGCACAGGAACTGGTTCAGCTGTTGCCTCACCCGATTTGGGGACAGTACGGGTACCCGACCAAACAGGGAGACGGGTGGATTGGGGATGCAAGGACTTGGGAACTTGATGTTGGTGCCCTTTCAAGCCGCCTTTACTTCTATCAGGTATGTTGTGTACGCGTTACCTAGTGCATCTAGGGGCGGGCTCTAGGCTCTACTTCAACCCTCAGTAGTTATATGCTTGTGTTCTGACTTCTGACTATTGGCTTCTAATTACACTGATGGTGCAGGACCCAGGTACCCCTCCTGCTAAAAGAATATGGACCTCCCTTGATGTTGGGACCGAAATATTTGTTAGTGACAAAGATGAAGTCGCGGAATGGACTCTGAGCGACTTTGATGTTATACTCACCTCTCCTCAAAGTTAGTTGGTTAATCAAAGTAAACTCCAAAGGGTGTTTGTATTTTGTGCTCCAAAGGTTGTTTTTTGTCATCACCCAACACCAAATGACTTCTACTGATCTATTTTGCAGTAGTTTACAATTTGCATTTCCAATTTTACCTTGTTCAATTTCTCAAACGAACATAATGTCTGCACAACTTTTGCTTATCATTATCCATCAAACTAGAAAACGTAAAAACTCCGTAATTCATTAAAACATTCCTTTTATATTTATTACTCCAATAAAAAAAGTGGGGAGAAGTCAAACTCGTGTTCATAACAAATGTAATAATTAATAAATAAATCAAAGAGGGAGAGGTGTCAAAAAAAATAAAAGAGGGAGAGGCGGGTACTTAGCTACATGTATTATGCAAGCGAAGAACTGAAAGATGCTACTGCATCCATTTCTTGCTGCAAAAGAAGAGCATCAATAAAACTGTCCAGCCCATCTCCCTGCAACACTTCATCTATCGAATGACTGGTAATCCCAACTCTGTGATCCGTAACCCTTCCTTGAGGAAAGTTATAAGTTCGAATGCGTTCCGATCTGTCCCCACTGCCAATCTGCTCAATGTTGTTTAGGAAAAACCGTTTCATGATGGGCAAAGAAAGAACCAATTCTCATATACAGCACCAATGCATTAACAGTTGCCCCTTACCTGCTCCGAGCGGAGTTTTGATCTACTAGACTGAATCCTACATCTTTCCAATTCAAAGAGCTTTGCACATAACACTTTAAGAGCTTTGGTCTTATTCTGGTAGACACAGGCAAAATTGAGTATGAGCACTGATAGCCATAAGTGCATATTGAGTTTCATACAGAAAAAACACCTTAAAAAATCTGGATCACAATTCATTCAGTTCCTTACCATATGTTGGGATCGCTCATCCTGTATGGAAACAGTCAACCCCGAAGGAATGTGAGTGATTCTAACAGCACTGTTAGTGGTATTTACATGCTGACCTCCTGCACCACCGGCTCTGTATGTGTCAATCTTCAGATCTTCATTTCTCAACTGAACATCTACCTGCACGGCACTTTAGCATATATAGTTAATTAAAAGTTGAATAGATGAAATTTACCAAAGCATCCATTAACATAAAGATAACTCGTTCCAATGTACCCAAAGAAGCTTTCAATGTGGTAATATGACACTCATTGATATGAACCTAACAACCAAGCACTTCATATTGTCTAAATACGAATACACCGCTAATATTAGAAAATAACAGGTCATACATGTAACGTGTTAGACCACGGGATTTCTAACCATATAATTTTTATTACGCAAGAAGATACCCCTAGTAATCATGGGTTGTGACATTCACTACCTATGAGGCAAAAAAAAATAATTAGACCAACTTAAAAAAAACAGATTTGCACCTGATCGGCCTGGGGAAGTATTGCAACAGACACAGCACTTGTGTGGACACGTCCAGATTTCTCTGTAGCAGGAACTCTCTACAAAAGAAGTAACACGTGTTGCAATAGTCCAAAGGTAAATTTTGGTAGAGACTAGAGAGCCCAATTTCAAGACAATGGTACCTGAACTCTATGAATACCACTCTCAAATTTTAGATTTCCATACACACTAGGTCCAGATACAGCTGCACTGGCTTCCTGGGAATACAGTTTTGAGCATTAGTTTTATGAAATGATAATCATGCAAGGGGAACTCTTGCCAATCGTCATTAAAGAATGAACAGTTTCTCTTAACCTAAACAAATTACTAGTCCATGTCATTTTGCTTAAGTTGATGCACCTTGTATCCTTTGAGATCCGATTCAGCAACATCTAAAACCTCAAACTTCCAACCTTTCATCAGTGAGTATTTTTCATACCTGATGCATTTTCAGCAAGGACAGAAACATGAATTGTACCAGAAAAGTGACCCAGAAACAATAAGTTTTTGTGCAAATGAGCAGTAACCCACATTTTGAATATGTCCATCGCAAACAAAGAAGCCTCTTCACCTCCAGTTCCTGTCAAAATTTTCTTCAGTCACTAAGCTGAAATCACATCCATATAGCAACAAAAGCCATGAAGAAAGAGAACTCATGCAGATAACCTAAAATCCATGGAAGTATACTTCCAATATACTTGAAAAAAAGTTTACTATGTCACAATCACCTGCTCTCACTTCCAGAATGCAGTTTCTCTCATCGGCGTCATCTTTTGGTAATAGTGATTTCAGAAGAAGATGCTGCAGCCTTTTCTCTCCCTCTGTGGCCTGGCTCAATTCTTCAAATGCCATTTTCTGCATCTCTTTATCATCTCGGCATTCAGAAATTACTAGTTCCAGTTCTGCCATTTCCTAGAAGGGGAAGTAATTATCACGAAACAGGCCAGGAGAAAATATAGGAGGGGCAATGTTTAATTGAATGAAGTGTGTTTCTACCATAGATCCACTCTCCTATTTAGTAGGTGTTGACCAAAAGGAAGAAGTAATTGGAAAATGGGGTTTCCATTAATCATTCCAGTTTCCATACTTCAGAAAATATTTTAAATTTTCCATTTGGTAAATGTGCCCAATGTCATTGTCATTGTTGAGTATATTAGCTAGGACCAACAACTACCAATGTTAAGCACTAGTTAGTGGTGATACTGTACTGGGAGCATAACAGGCAAGAAATGAAGAGTGAAACAAGAAGCTAGACTGAATAAGCAAAAATGCTAAGATGAAGTAACTAGGTCAACCATTGCTCGAGCGAATGCCAAAGTTCTACAATGTGATAGGCAGCCTCTAGACAATACAATGGCGCCGAATAGAGCTGGGGGGGCATAGGGAGAGCCTAAACGGGCTTTTCAGGGCAATGAGAAAAACCTTGAACCGTCAAGACTCAAGAGGGCTAAAAATAAACACTTGTTTGCAGAACCAAGCAATCAAATCAATGGGTTAGCATTTTTCTTACATTGAAAAAAAATATAAATGCATTAGAAAAATGGGAAGGCAAATAAAGATACCTTCTGTATAGCCCTGAGTTCAGTTATAAGCTGCATTACATCCCTGAGTTTCCTGAGTTCCTTATTAGCTACAGAGTACTCATGAGGAGACAATTCCGGCTGTCTTTAATCAACCCACATATTGAAAGGTTTAACATACAAGAAAAAGAATGGAATTACAAGGAGACATGCCCACAAGCAGCACGATGAAAATACTAAGACAGGGATAAAGAAACGAATCAAGACATGGGATTGCCTGGTTCAGAACTCTCTGAAGATATGACGTCCTGTTTTCAATAGAAAACAACCGCTGCTCCATAATTTTGATTAGGTCAGGCGATAACTGAGGCCGCGGCTCTGTCATTAAGGGGGGACCATGTGAGCTTCAT